CTGAGAGATAGCCTCGGTCAAATTGGGTTCAGGGTTTTAGGGTTGTAGAGATAAGGGCTTTACCGCTTTTGGGATTTAGGGTATATTAGGGACCCAAAAAGCACATAAGCATAGGCGTTTTATGGGGATATCCCTACCTTATCGGGCTTCATTCTAAGGGGGTTTATATGGGATATCCCTATCCTAATTTTTGCTTATGTGCTTTTTTTGGGCCTTCGGGTCCCCCAAACCCTGGACCCTGGATCCCGACCAGCCCTAAACCCTAAACCTCCCAAAAGACCCTTAAACCCCCCCCTCAACCCTAAACCCCCTGAGCCGCTAAACCACCCTAAACCCCCCTGATCTCCTAAAACCCCCCCTAAACCCCCCTGAATATCCCTAAACCCCCTCAAACCCTCAAATCCCTGAACCCCTAAACCGCCCCTGATGCCTTAGACCCTGAGACACAAAAACGCATAAAGCAGAAAAGTCAGCGCATGACGAGGCCCCAGTGCCGCCAGCCGAAGCTAAGGAGGTGCCAAAGCCTGCCGCAAAAGAAGGCCCTCTTTTAGTTTACTACTATTTGCTTATAGGGTTTAGAGGGGTTTTAGGATTTAGGGGTTTCGGGTTGAGGGTTTAGATAGGGTTTAAGGGTTCAGGGATTGGGGTTAATATTGGGGTTTGGGGCTTTTAGGGGTAGGCCTTATAGTAGAAGCCAGAAAGTTGGAACATGGCTTTAGGAGGATTAGTGCTAGGATCCCTTATACTTTACCTCAAGGGCATGAGGATAATGATGTTCCAACTTTCTGGCTTCTACTGTATGATGTGTATTTCACGGGTCAGGGTGTAGGGGAGTTTGTGACGTGTCTTACTGGGTTTCGTTTGGAGTGTTGTTTTTTACGGTGTTGTGTGTGAAGCGTTGTGGGTGTTTTTTGGCTGGGGTGTGGCCACATTGAGGGGTCCATGGTGTGGCCGGTTCCTTTAGTCAGCAGGGTTAGTGTGTTCAGCTTCTGGATATCGCAGCCTCAAAACCTGAAACCCTAAACTACTTTAGGGCTCACGGGACTTAGTAAGTAGGGTTAGGTCTGGGGCTATAAGCGCCCGGAGTGGGGTTATCCCGAATGTAGCCTTACTCATAGCCTTGCTGACTAAGTCCCATGAGCCTTTAAATACCCCTAAACCCCCTTATAGATCCCTTTCAATGGTCCATTTTAAGGAGCCCTTTACAGAACTTTAGTTAGCAAGTCCATGCGCCTTTAAGTACATATGAACACCTACCCAGAGAGCCCAAAACCTCTTAATTAAGAACATACCTTAAATTACATGGGGGCTAATATTATGTTTCAGGGTATTCCTTAGCCAAGGTTTATTGGGCTCTCCGGGTCCAGGTTTGCAAAGCCGAGGGACGCATGAGCTTCCCCTACTTAAGGGCTCAAGGGACTTAGTAAGTAGGGTTGTAATTGGGAGGACAACTGGGCTAAGTAGGGTTATCCTACTTAGAACCTTACTTACTAAGTCCCATGGGCCATGGGCCCTCAAGTATAGTCCAGTATGATCTAGTATAACTTTCCCCTGAAAAACCTGCCCCCTGTACGGGCACGATACTTCCGCGTCACATGAGTCGGTTCCTGAGTTGCACCTTGTTGCCCCCTTACTGTTAAGGGGCTTCTCAGGAACCTAGATGAACGAGGTCAAATTTCTTTCTAATAAAGTTTCTTGCGAGATCCTGCTCCTACCTAGAGGATGAGGGGACTTAGTAACTAGGGTTCCTTTTAGGGTTCTATGGCGGTTCTATAACGGGAAATTTAGGTTACTTAGGGGCAAAGGGGGTTTTTATTGTGGTTATAAGTCCCCGAAGTGGGGTTATCCTGATTATAACCTTACTTACTAAGTCCTGTGAGCCTCTGAGTACACGACCCAGACGAAAGAGTCCGATCAAAAGCAAAAGCTGCTCAACCGCCTGGACCTCAACCGCACGCTGGGGTTCATCACCGCCTTGGATCCGCAATCTGCAGTACAGTGCAAAGGGAAAGACCGGCTCATTCGAAAGCTTGCCGATCGTTGCAAAGCAGCGGGACATCGTGCAGAGTCCTTCGAATGCAAGAAAGAGCAATCGTTGCAGGACTAGTGACTAGAGCTGTGCAATCCTGATTGTGTCACAGTCACACTTGCTTAGATAGCCCTGTGACGTGGGCTCCTAGATGGCTCGCAAAACCACAGAGAGAGACCCCTGGAATCATGACTACGCTTAGACCCCCGAGCAGCCCCAAGCAGATAGCATACTTAGATCCCCAATACCTAAACTTTAAACTTTTTGGGTTCTTATAGTTTAATAGGAACCGGAAAGTTTAACCTTTTATCTCTGTGGCTTGTTGGGGTAGCAAGCATATGCGGACAAATGATGTTGATATGCTTGACTTGCAGGTGGCTCTCCGCCGTCCTCGTTCATGCCTCAGCATCCGCAACTTTGTCCCCTAAACCCTAAACCTGGACTGTTGTCTTTGGGCTCCCTAAACCCTACCTCCCGAAACCCACCGGATAAGACTTCTTGAAGGCGCGGGAGCGTCTAAAAGGATCATGGCTCCTAGCAGATCTGGCCAAAGAGCTCGACTTTGATCCGCACGCAGAGAGCCCAATACCTGTTAAGTAAGGAATATACCTTTAGTCAGAGGTATATATTCCTTAATTAAGAGGGGTTTGGCTCTCTGGGAATTCGACTTTGGTCCGTACCTCCATGAGTTTGATACTATCCACAATATCCTTCTATTTAGCCCTTCCCATGACCCCTAATATAGACTGTTACAGTCTGGGGGCAGTGCCCAACTGATAAAGAAGCTTTACAAGAAAGAGGCGGACAGGACTTTGTCTTTTCTCTGTCGACTTAAGGAGTTCATCTTAACTTATCAGGGGCATCACATTATGGTTCAGGCTATCTTCCTTATTTAACGGGTCTAACTAAGGAGTTTATCTTGACTGATAAGGAGCTTCACATTGTGCTTCAGGCGATATTCCTCAATTAGGGGGTCGAATTAAGGAATGCACCTTAAATCATATCACATTATGCTTCAGTCTATCTTCCTGAATAGGGAGTTTCCGAAAATTAAGGTTACCGTATTTTGGGGTCCTTACAATAAGGATCCTACTATTTAGGGTACTATATTAGGGTCCCAGTATGTTCGGAAACTCCTTTTTTTTGCATCCCTTGAACCCTACTTGAAGGCTCATGGGACTTAGTAAGTCAGGTAATAAGTAGGTTACAATTAGGATAACCCCACTTAGGGGACTTATAACCCCAGTTATAACCTACTTACTAAGTCCCATGATCCTTTAAGTAAACCTTAAACCCTAAGCGGCAGAAGCCGCAGAGCCAGCCAAGGCCTCTACCCAAGGCCAAAGCAAAAGCCAAGGCTCCGCAAAATAAGGGCTCAAAGAGATTTGGTAAGTAGGTTTGTCAGCCTTGTCCTTTTTCATGGTTCCCCCAAAAGAATAAACAGACCGGCTAGTAGACCTTCTTAAATAATTCCTACTAAGGGATATAGGTATAGGGCTCTGTCCATTATTTCTAAAGGGACCTGGTAAGTAGGTTTATGTATTGGGTACGGCCCCCACTCAGTAATAGTTGAATAATATTCATAATACAGATATATTAGGACCTTCATAGTAGCCCTATTATAGACTCTTACTGTAAGGGGGGCAGTACCTAATTTATGTACTACACATTTGATGGACCTTTGGGTCTCCTACCATCTGAAAACCGTTCTCATCCAGAGAGCCCAATACCCCTTCGTAAGGGAGTATATTTCTTATGTATACATATGTATATATATATATATGTATACCTTGAGCCAGGGCTGTAAGGGCTCAGGTGGTGCATAAGGGCTTCTATAGCCCATATACCCTTGAATTAAGGAACATCACTTAAATTCCAAGGGGCGGAATATTGCAATTTGAGGTACACTCCTCAATTAAGGGGTATTGGGCTCTCTGGGACTAGGCTTTCTTAAGCGGGTTGCGGGTCAGGCCTTACTTAAAGGCTCATGGTACTTAGTAAGTACGGTTATAAGTGGGTTATAATCAGGATAACCCCGCTTAGCGGACTTATAACCCCATTTATAACCCACTTACTAAGTCCCATGATCCTCTAAGTAGGATTTAGGGTTTGGGGTTTGGGATCTCGGATTTGGGGTTAAGGGTCATAGGTTCAGCCCGAAGAATGAAGCCCTGAAGCTACCCAGAGACTCCAATATCCCCTTAATTAAGGAATATACCTTAAGTTATAGTAGGATCCCTCGATTTAAGCAATACTCCTTAATCAAGGGAATTTACTGAAAGCCTGGCTCAGTTAACGAACGCAAAGGGAGGGGGTTTCTGCAGTCCCACGACACTAACGCTGACACACAGCTAACATCGTCCTTCCAGTTCGTCACATAATGGCACAGGAACAGCTAGTCAGCAAGTTGAAGTGAAGCATAAGCCCGACGTTTCAGGCTTGAGGTTTGGGTTCCGTTTCCAGTCACGTGCTTTGGTGTCTTTCGATTAATGGCACAAAGGTGTGAAAGCCTGTAGAATTCGGTGTCAGCCAGGATGGATGCTAGTTTATCCCGAGGAATCATCGCTTCTGCTGTTGTGACGGCCTGGGACTGAAGCATCAAGCAGGAAAGCACTACATGCCAACATCCCGAGCCCGTTTCCGATGCATCAGCAGGAGAGGGGAAAAGGAGGGACCCTCCTTAATGGGGACCCCTACCCTATAATGGGCTATATAATGGGTATATAATAGCTATATTAAGGATATATACCTAGGGGTCCTTATTAAGGGTCCCTCCTTTTACCCTTAGATCAACAGGAGAGGGATTGCACCCGACCGTGCCCTCGAAAGTCTTCTTGCGAGCTGATGTTAATTGGCGAAATCCAGTCCCTCCCTCACCTGCTGAGATTGTTTAGTCTTAGTGATGATGGGATCGCAACTGCAGCACCTAAAGAGCAGAAGAACGGAATCGCACATCGAGCAGCAGCAGCAGGTGAAGAAAGAATCCAGCGAAAAGGAGGAGAAGAAGGATGAGAAGAAGGAGGCACTGGCTGCTCAGGCGGTCAAGGAGCCACTGGCGAGTAGGAGTCGTTGAGGCCAAAAGTTTCACGCAGTGAAACCTACAAACCCGCACAACCACGCAGAGCCTTTAAAGGTATTCAAGGACTCGATGCGTAAAGAGCAAATACACCCGAATTGACAATCTGTGCCTGAACTTTGTATCTAGGATGGCTTTGCTCATTGAAGGGGGTATTGGCTTCTATGGGTGCCTCTTCGAGCACTTTTCTACGCTTTGCCGCACAACCGGTGATTCAAAGCTTGCAGGGTCGGTCCTCGCAGGTCTTGTTGCAAGCCCTAAGGCTCAGCGGGGTCTATAGGGAGCTTATCAGGGGCTTATACGGTGGTTCATGATTTTTGTTCGATTTTTTCTTGCGGTTTGTTTTGTAGCTCCAACAACCCCCCAACTTGTTAGCCCCCAGCCTGACCCGACAGCCCGACACCTCAAAATCCTAAACCTATGCACCAGCACGCCCGGCAACCTTTTGAGGAACCCGAAATCCAAAACCCTACCCCGAAATTCTATAACCTTCTTTTTTTACAGGTTCCCATTATAAACCCTAATATGCAGTTTACAGGGACCCTACAAAAAAGTAGGTTTTGGAACCTAATCCCTAAAACCTAACCCCGAGCGCCCCGAGCGACCCTATCAGGAGCCCTTACTGGGGTTATAGAAATAGATGCCTGATATGACCCTAGTCAGTACTTGGAGGATCATGGGACTTAGTAAGTAGGTAATAACTGGGGTTATAAGTCCCCTACGTGGGGTTATCCTAATTATAACCTACTTATAACCTTACTTACTAAGTCACATGAGCCTTCAAGTAGTCAGTAAGTTCCGTGATCCCTTAAGTACCGACCCTTTCAAAAGCCTTAACGCTCCAAAACAACGTTGCGAGGAGATCCTGAAAGCTATCGAGCAGCCCGACGTGCAGAAGAAGCTTGGCGCTTTTAGGGAAGGTTTGGGGTACAGAGTTTTGGGGTTGCGCGAGGTTTGGGAGTCCGAAAAGCTTTCAGGGTTTGGGATTTAGGGGCTCTGGACTCAGGGCTGATACGCTCGGCGTTCTTCTGGCTGGCTCTTAGGACTTTAACTGTTTGGGTTTCTCGATGAACTATAATAAGGAGGCTAAACGTTTATGTAACTTTTTGGAGCGGTGCAGAAGTCGGCCAAGTAAAGTTTTTGGAATTTGTTGGCTTCCTATAGCTTTCAGGGTTTAGGGCTTTGGGTCTAGGCTGCAGGGTATATGGGTTTAGGCTTCAGGGCATGGGTTTAAAGGGAACTCCAGAAAGTTGGAATATGGTTTCAGGGTAGGATACCCTATAATTTACCATAGAAGGGTTAGGATAATCATATTCCAACTTTCTGGCTTTTACCTTAGGCTTTAAGGGTTTTGTGGTTTTGGGTGTCGAGGTGTCGGGTTTGGAGTCCGCTCTGGCATTTAGGGTTTAGGTTACTACTATTTGCTTAAGAAACACCCAAAAAATAAACATAATAATCCCTATATTACCCCCATAAGGAATACATTTTTTATTTTTTGGGGGTTCTTAAGCAAATACTAGGTTAGGTACGGCCCCCATACAGTAAGAGTCTATAATAGGGCTACTATTAAGGTACAAAAATATCTATATTATGAATAGTATTCAACTATCACTGAGTGGGCGCCGTACCCAAGGTTTAGGGCTTAGTTTAGAGTTTTGGGCTGCGTAAGATTTAAGGACCTTTAGGGCCTTAGGGTGCTTATATCCTTAGTAGCTGAATGGATACACTTTACACTTTTGGGGATAGTACTAACCACTATAAAACTGAAAGTGTACACTTTTGGGGGGCTTATGAACTCAGCAACTAGATATCGGTCTCTACTAAAGTCAAGAAAGGCCCCTAAAGGGCCATAGGCTTTACTGTATTGGGATGTAGGTCTTTAAAATTTGGGGGTTTAAGCCTCTTTGTTTTTGGGGCCTCCTTGCCAAATATGAGTACTGACTAAGACAAAGAGTACCCGTATCATTCCGAGGAACCTAGTTTCATAAGGTTCTACGATTCGGGATTTGTGGGTTTGGGGTATATGGCTCCACAAGGAAGAATCACATTGTGGGATCTACGACGACGGCGACGATGACTACTAGCTACTACTTTATAACGGTAGTACGAGCGGTAAGACAAAAATCTGAAGAACGGCATGTTTCACCATAGTAGACGGCCCCAGCAATGCTCGTATTCCATTTGTACGTTCGGTGTCTTGTTCAGAACCGGAATGAGAAGGGCGGCACTCTTGTTTGAAAGTGGTGCTGCTGGCCAGCTATACCAAACTCAAGAATTACAGTCGTAAGCAAAGTAGACATTGTCACTGCAAGAACTATGCATCCTACGGTTGATGATATAAATCCTGCATTACCTGAAGGGCCCTGAACTATGGGAATTATGGTATATTCCCTATTATGGGTTTTGCAGGATTTACATCATAACACCTAAGCGCCACGCCCCCTAATCCGGACCCCGGACACCTAAACCCTCAACCCCTAAACCCTAAATCCTAAAGTCTAAGGCATGGTACATTTATTCTGCCGGACTGGCACACAACGCCAGAGCCTCAGAACCGGAGCAAACCCATCATGGGCATTCGTGCTGAGGCATATGGGAGTTTGCGGAAATTGGGGGTACCTTGTTTTGGGGTCCTGAAAATGAGGATCCTACCGTTTAGGGTACTATATGAGGGTTCCCCTGTTTCCGGAAACCCCCTTATCTTAACGGCTCAATAGACTTAAGATAGCCACTTATGGGTAAGGTTCTATATTGGATAGCCCCACTTGGGATACTTACAACCCCGATTCTATCCTTCTTAGTAAGTCCAGTGAGCCCTTAAGTAGACTTTAGGGTAGGATCGGGTTTAAGGCGTTTAGATCTTACCAAGATGCAAGGCAGACCCCTGGTTCACAAGCCTGCGCCCGCTAATAGGAATTGTGGAAGCAGCGTTAATCAGGGTGCAAGACGGTCCAGAAGGCAGGGTTTCATATGATAGAGTCCAGAATACAAGGTATACAGCGATACAGGTACGACTATGTGGTCCCCGTTATATACCCCAAGACCCTTCACCCTCACCAAGACCCTTCTCTCTTCATCGAAACTGTTTGTTCGCGTAGGGCGCTCAGTTCTTTGGCATGTCTTCTACAATATTGCCGCTAAGGCCCCCAAAAGACCCGCAATTTGTGGGAGGGAGAGGGGAATTTTCAATCTTATCGTGGCATGGTCTTCGAAGGGCTATCATAGGCACGGCTTAGTGCTTCGTTACGTGTACATCGGGCTCACTAAGAACATACGTGAGTATGCTTTGTGTCGTTACAGGGATACGTGAGGAAGAACCTTACTTCATGAGAGCTGCTTAAAAAGCCTGTATAAAAGGGCCCCCCAAATCAGCTTCGGTGACCTAATCAGTCAAATCCTGACTTCCTAAACCATAGGAAAAGATTCTGGCATTGGTAACCAACCTAGCGCGAGGGCGTTCCTAGTAACCGTCCTACTGGCAATTGTGGCTTCGGGCGGTACGGAACATACCTGTGGATGGTCAAGATAGACGGCACTGGTTTCGACCACATGGCATGCATGCGTCGCTGTGGTTGTGTTGAATCCCAATTCCCCGGTTGGGGGAGCCGCCACAAACTCTAAACCCTGAACCCAAACCAAAGAGGTCAGAGAGGTTCGATGACTGAAACTTTCAGCGAAAATTGGCGCAGCTGGCCGAGGAAAAAGGTGAATCCGCCGCCGTTCTATTCGCCGCCCTATCGATGGCTGTGCTATCGAACAAAATGATGAGAGGTGTATTGTGCAAGCTGAACACGAGCCAGGGATAGCTCCTGGTTTCCTTAGCCGTTTCCTGCATAAAAATTGGCACCCTCGCTACTAGAGAGAAGCTTGGGGGCTGTTAAGACCGACACCCCTAAAGAAACCGAAACGCTACCATGAGCCCTACTTAAAGGCTCATGGGACTTCGTAAGTACGGTTATAAGTAGGTTAGAATTAGGATAACCCTACTTAGGGGACTTATAACCCCAAGTATAAGCTACTTACTAAGTCCCATGATCCTCTAAGTAACCTAAACACCCCTTATAGAACCCTTATATTACAGATCCCTAAACCCTAAACACTTTTAGGAGCCCTTTAAGGAGCCTTTTAAGGAAGCCTTACTAAGTCCCATGATCCTCTAAGTACCAGAAACCTCTGAGCCGAAGGTATCCCCGAACCCTGAGCCTGGAAATTCTGAACCCGTGCCGAAGGTATAAGTTAGAAGCTTGATATAAATCCTGGGGTTCCTTTAAAGGTACCCTTATAGATCCCTTTAAAGGAACCCCAGGATTTATATCATCAACCTTTGAAGCTGCCCCCAGCCTGTAATAGCTAGGATGCCCAGTAGTACCCTTATTCCTTTTTTGTAGTCCTAGGTTCCTTATAAAGTTACTCAATACCAAAAAGAGAGGCCTTTTTATTCTTAGGTTACTGGGTATCCTAGATAGTGACTATAAGGATTATATTAGGGCCCTATTATATTGCGATTATACCACTATTACAGGGTGGGAAGCCGTGCCGAAGGTATAAGGATCAGCTGGGCTCCTACAAAAAGTTTGTGAAGCGCAGCACGCAGCTGCAGGCCTGACTGCTCAGAGACTCCAACGATCCAAGGGTAAAAGGAGGGACCCTTAATAAGGACCCCTAGGTATATACCCTTAATATAGCCACATTGTAGGGTAGGGGTCCCCATTAAGGGTCCTTCCTTTTCCCCTTTGAAACTAAGGAAAACTGGGCTTTTGGGTTCAGTGCTTAGGTAGCCATGAGACTTCAAACTTTTACCCTTGCATGTCTGCTATCTTAAAGCGTTTCAACTTCTTTGGGCCCGGTTGCGGAAGAAGAGAGTTAGGGTTTGGGTTTAGGATTTGTTTATAAGTCCTTACGCAGGTTTTCGACTTCACTCTGATTGATTACTAGTACTAGGCACCGTTTGGATTTTGGGGTTCAGGGCTTAGGGTTCAGACGAAGGTGTGATGCGGCCTCCTCGACTTGACATATTTAGGAATGTAGGCCCTAAACCCTAAACCCTAAAAGGGCTTCGTCTTCTGGTCCATGGTTTGGGGTTCCAACCACGGCAGCCCCTGAATTGAGAGGTTGGGTACTGCCCCCACTCAGTAACAGTTGGATAATATTCATAATATAGGTATCTAAGGCCCTTAATAGTAGCCCTATTATAGACTAGGTATATAAGGCCCTTACTTGTAGCCCTATTATAGACTAGGTATATAAGGCCCTTACTAGTAGCCCTATTATAGACTAGGTATATAAGGCCCTTAATAGTAGCCCTATTATAGACTGTTACTGTATGGGGGCAGCCCCTGAATTGAGAGGTCATAGAGATGGAGGAGGGCAAGTACATCATCCAGAAAGCCGGCGACACCACAGCACGAACCCAAGCGTTTGCCCATGGAGATTTGGGGCGTCCCTAGCAGCTGGCTCTTCATGCTCTAAAGTAAAAGCCAGAAAGTTGGAATATGATTATCCTAAACCCTTTATGGTAAATTATAAGGTATCCTACCCTGAAACCATATTCCAACTTTCTGGAGTTCCCTTTAGCCGTTTCCGGGATGTGTCTAACCTGGCTTCAAAAGCTGAATGATTGGTTTTCTGTAATCGGGTTAGCATGCAGGGTTCAAGACGTAGGGCTTCTGGTCTCTGAGGAGATTGCCGCAGGTTTTTGGGAGATGCGGTTCGTTCATGAAATGACTGCACATCTTCTGCTGTCGGATCTTTGTTTTTGGCTGCAAATTCTCGATTCGACACAGTCTAAACGTTGAACTCAAAAGCCTTAAACCCTGATCCCCGAATAGCCAACACTTGCACACAAAACCCGGGTCAGTGTACGACACTCGAACTCCGCCTTGCGCAATCAACTCTGGACATGCGTCTGGCGGGCCACCCAGTGTAATCTCCACGTTTGTCAACCATGGCTAGGACAAGCCGCATTTCGATATAAACCGTACAGGCATATGATGTCCCTAGCAGCTTACGTCAGGTAAAGGAGAGTGGCTACATTTTGTTTTTCTGGACAAGTCTTGATTCTCTACAATTACAAGCTCTAAACCCGAAGCCACAACCGCTACTTCAGGTTTCAAGGGACTTGGTAAGTACGGTTATAATTAGGGCTGCAAGTGTCCTATGTAGGGATATCCCAATAACAACCTTGCTCATACCCTTCCTTACAAAGTCCCATGAGCCTCTAAGTAGACCCTGAACCCTAAACCCTTAAAGGGAACCCAAAAGTATCCTTAAAGTGAACGCTGAACCCTACTTACTAAGTCCCATGAGCCTCAAGAAACCCTAAACCCCCCCTGTAGAACCCTTGTAGATCTTTTCTTTAAAGGAGCCCCGTAACGTCCCATGAGGCTTTAAGTAAACCCCTTCGGCAAACTCCGTAAGATGTCACCCAGGCAGCAGCTGTTCCACAAGCCAAAGCCAAGGCCCGATTAGGGTACTTGGAGGGTCGGGGGACTTAGTAAGTAGGTAGTAAGTAGACTTATAAGTACCCTAAAAGGGCCCTAATTGGGGTTATAGTACTTATAAGTCCCTAAAATAACCAGTTACTAAGTCCCCTGACCCTCCAAGTAATACAAGAGTCGAGGGTTTAGTGTTAAGGGCCATCGGGGATTCTATGGAATTCTCTTTACGGATACAGGGGCTTCTTTAGCAGGAGTCGAACATTTAGTACGATGTCGGGTTTAAGGTTTAAGGTTTCGGTTTAGAGTTTAGGATTTAGGGTTCAGGGCTTTTGGTTTGCCCCCATATTCTCCCTGTATAGTTACAGGCTCTAATGCCTTAAGACCCTATTGAAACTAATGGTTAAGGCCCCGATATACAGGTTTCTCTTGATAACGGCTTTCTGGGACTCTATGAATGAAGGCTGTGCAGGCCGGTTGCAGACTGCAGCGGTTCTTAGGATTTGCGTGTAGCCGCTTCGGGAGTTTGGGTTTGGGGCTTGGCAACTTTGAGATTTTCCTTAGAAGCTGCCCCCACCCTGTAATAGTGACTATAAGGATTATACTAGGGCCCTATAATATTCCTATTATGCGACTATTACAGGGTGGGGGCCCTTCTGAGGTTTTACTCTGGACCCAGTCTTTGCGTGGGTAAGACGCAAGGCTGCGGTAGTTGCATAGGTGGTTCTATGGAGTTCTCTAAGTTAGGGTCCCTTTTTCTCAAAATTACGGTCTCTTGCAAGGTCTCCATAATAGTAACTAATAGTTCTCTAATTCGAGTTTCTTCTAAGGTCTCCAAAATAGTAACAGTTCTCTAAATTAGGGTCTCTTTTAAGGTTCCCCAAAATAGTAATAGTTCCTCTAAATTAGGGTCCCTTTTAAGGTCCCCCAAAATAGTATCTTTCTCTAAATCCCCAAAACAGTATAGTTCTCTAAAATAGGGTCTCTTTCAAAAATTAGGGTCTCTTTTAAGGCCCCCACAAAGAGTACGACGCCCTGATGAAAAGGTCCCTGCGTCTGAGGAGGACCCGAGCTCATGCAGAAGACTTGGTGACCCTGTTGATGATATAAATCCTAAACTTCCTTTAGAGGGATCTATAAGGGTACCTTTAAGGGGCTTCTTTACGGGATCTATAGTATAGGGTTTGGGGTGATGATATAAATCCTGCATTACCGTAAGGACCCTGAACTCAGGGAATTATGGTATCTTCCTTATTATGGGCGATGCAGAATTTGTATCATCAACCGCCCGATTCGGCAGGCCGACATCGAAAGCCGAAGCGCCACTTGAAGGATCATGGGACTTAGCAAGGGTTCCCCTTAAAGGGTTCCTTTAGGGTTTAGGGTTTAGGCATCTATAATTAAGGGTTCTATAAAAGAGGGAGTTTGGGGTACTTAGAGGATCATGGGACTTTGTAAGTATAGGTTATAATTGGGGTTATAAGTCCCGCAAGTGCAGTTATCCGAATTGAAACCTACTTATAGCATTACTTACTAAGTCCCATGAGCCTTTAAGCACAGCGTGTCAGATGCACGGCACATCCTCCACGGCCTCTTGAAGGATGCTGACTTGCGCGGACTTGCGCGTTCGGGAAGTGACAGTCTATTTCGGTCCTGTCGGCAGGACCGAGTGGAGTAGAACATGCGGAACCATGCGTCATGGCGGAGTGAATGTGCTGCGCATGGTTTAGTGATGACATCACGCTGGGCTCCACGATTCAACTTGGTGATGACAGCTTCTACGTCACCGAGTTTGTTGCCAGGTCCTTCACATTGCGGACAGGCGTCTGCGAAGCGGCTCAGCAGCTGGCGCAGGCGATCAACCAGGGCGACGGGTACATGAACTTTAGCCGGCATTTGGCCGGTCAAGTTCTCGTCGGCTGCTGCTGAGAATGACTATACACATATCGGTCTCAATCTATCCAGAAAAACCATCCTGGCTTTGGCCCTTTGGTTGCTGGTCATCAAAGGCTTTGCCTTGCGACCTAAGGGTTCTGCAGATGCGACATGTCTGCACTAGCTAGTTTCTCCACCACTTGAACTCTGTGACGAGGGGGGCAATGACATTTTCGGAGCCGCCCTGAGATGTTGAGAGGGACGTGGGAGGCAGGCTGCACCGTAAGTGCCAGTTGACAGTCACTCACTGACTCACCCGACAACGGACCCTAATCTAACGACAATCGCGTTTGTGTTGACTGTTTATGTTGACTTAAGGCCTTTCATCATACACACTCGTTTTTTCGGCTGATCCCGTTTACTGGTGGACCCACGAATCTAAATCGAATTGAAGCCCCACTGAAATCTAATGAAACCCCATTGATAATACCCTGATTCAAATCTGGTAAAACCATACAAAGACCTCGCAAGCAAGTTCAAAACCTCAGAACACTACTTTTCGGCAGAATCTATAAAGCCCTCCGAAAACCCTATGCAACCCTTTTGAGAGTGGACGGTAGGTTCCCTGAAAGGCGGCAAAAGGAGACTGGAAGCAGCTGCTAGCAAGTGCCTGGAACATCTACTGCCAGGCATCCCTGTAAGGCTTCTTGAGAGTTTTGCACGGGTTCGTTTAAGGGGTTTCATAAGGCTTTTATGACGGTTGAAAAAATTTTGTAGTAGAGGCTTAGGACGTAGGGCTCAGGGCTAAGGCTTTACTTAAAGGCTCATGGGACTTAGTAAGTAAGGTTATAAGTAGGTTATAATTAGGATAACCCCAGATAGGAGACATATAACCCAGTTAGAACCCACTTACTAAGTCCCATGATCCTTTAAGTATACATAGTTCAGAGCTGACAGTTTTACGGTCCAGGGTTTAAGTTGTGGGCTTCGGAACATTTACTGCCAGGCATTGGGGCAAATCGGAGGTCGTTTAGATGCGCGGTGGTTTGAGAAGTACAGCTTAGGTGCAACTGTGGTGATACTGGGCAATGTGCTCATTGTTGTGTTTGTGGTATGCGGTTTGGGGAGGATTTGTAAGTAGCATTTCTTGCTTAGAGCTGTCAGTTTTGAGGGGATCGCATCCCGAAGCCAAAACACAAACAAGCGCTAAACTTAAAAAGCCCTAAACCTGCCCTAAACCCTAAACCGTCCTTAGCCCACGGACCCAGAAAACCGAGCGTCAAAACAAACAAACCCTAAACCCTTAGCTCGAGACCCGTTTTGCACCCCTCTTCAGACTGGTGAGTTGACATGTGGGTGGTTGTCAAAATTAGGGTCCCTTTTTGGGTACCCTAAATAATAGGTGCCGTATTATAATAGGGACCCAAAAAGGGACCATAATTTTGACAACCACCCATGTGTTGCCTGTAGTCCGCACTACGGAAGAGCCCTCAGCCTTAACCGCCAAAAGGAGCCCTCAACAAGTACCAGGATTAGGGCTTGGGTAGAGTTGGTTACCAATGATGTTCCAAAAGAGCCAAATACCCCTTACAAAGAGGAATGCATCTTGAACTACAAGGGGCTTCGTATTAGGATTACAGGTAAGTTCTCTATTTCAAGACCGAAGGAATTTCTTACGGCTCCTTACTGTGCAGCAAGATGTAGCCCAGAACCCTATGCAGTTTATCTGAACATTCGCTGCGCACTTGCATTGTCCTCCAATAGACCCATTGCGTCAGACAAGCTATCAACCTCATCGGGCTAACCCTTGTGTAACTGGAACCCGTGGAGTAGGCCCCCCAGACAGCAATGGCAACACAACACTATTTCGCCAAAATACACCCTAAACCGTAAACCGTAACACGTAATGACAGCTACTTCGGGTCTGAAGCTCAAACGGCTAGGATTTTGCAGGTGGCAAGAGACAGGATCATTTTAGATAGCTTCATGGAAGATGCAGGGAGCTGCATGGAGCGCAGGGCTCTTGAAAGAAGACCCCTCGAAAGCCAGCTGAGGATCGACAGCACATAAGCAGCCGGATCCGTTTACCGGAACCCTAAACCGGTTTAGGGTCTCGGTCTAGGTTTTAGGGTCTAGGGGCTTAAACCAAACAGCGCAACCCCAAACCCTTCCAGGAACCCTCAATCCCTGCACCCCGTTGCTTCAACCCCTACATCCTAAACCTTATAGGTTCTTCTAACCCCGCACCCTAAACCTTAAAGGGGCGAATAGGAAAAAAGCGTTCAAAAAAAACAAAACCTTAAAGGGGCCCTCAATCCTTGCCTCTGGAGGCCACCGCAAGGCATGAGTGGAACATCGACGTATTTACCAGCGCGCTAGCTCGAGGCGGAGTGATCCGCAAAGGGTTCTTGTAGGGTTTGCGGGTTTGGGTATGTTTTGGGGTGTAAGGGATTGGGGCTGCCGGGCTTATGTTTCCCTTAACCTGTTCTTGGGCCTCTGGGCGGGGTCCGGGGTAAAGGGTTCAGGACCGGATATACCGCCGAAATCGTAGGACCCTCCGACGCAGAAAGTAGGCTCTGGCAAGTTACGGCTTGAACCCTAAAACCTGAAACCATAACATCGAAGTTCGGAAAGAAAACAATCCTAAACCTAAATCCTAACGCCTTTATATGGGCTCCAAAACGCAGCTCCCAGCTTTGGTTCCTTACAGGGATCCGTAGTTAGCCAATGAGCGAACTCAATCTTATCTGGGGCGATTGTTCTCTCAATTAGGACCCCTTTGTCGGCCCCCAAAATAGTACGGCATTCTGACAAAAAGACACCCAATAGAGACTCGAATTTAGAGAACCACCCAGAGGCTTGGAGAAATAGCTATGCTTCTTTTACGGTTCCTAATTATTTATGAGTATTCCTTGTTACCTTCTGAACACTCCGACACCCTGTTCTAATCATCAAGACTTCCATATCACATGCAGACAGTTGGGCTTTATCTTGTTTAACCCCAAAGCCTACGCGTTTTCAGTTCTTGCAGGAGGGAGTGAGCGGGGAGCTAGAACTAGAACCGCGCAGGCGTGCGAACCACGAAGCCTGTGACAGGCGTGGAGCCCGGCATAGGAGGATTTCAGTTTCAAGAAGCGGTCTGTTCAATACCCGCGTTCTGTGATGATGGTGATGTTGATGGTCATGTGGGTCGAGAGTCGTGGTGTGGATGAGAATGAGGATATGATGATGATGATGATGATGATGATGGCATACCACAAGAAGCAACAACTTAGCGGGCGGCTTCAGCATAATACTTGCGGGCTGCACAGAATATGGATGTGAACGTGCTCGAGGGAACAGCACTCCTGTCGAGTGAGGACCGTCTAGGGTGAAAGAAGCATGCAGTCGTGCGTGAAACAGGGACCCAGAGAGCCCAATACTCCTTAATTATACCTTAAAGTATAAGGGGTTTCATACCATGATTTAGGCGATATTCCTTAAATCAGGCATATATGGGCCCTACAGAAAATGTTATGAGCCCTTAAAGGAAACCTGTTGTGATTTAATTAAGCCAAATTCCTGGGGTGTTGGGCTCCCAAGGGAGATACGGCCATTAAAATGCCTCCTTTGCCCTTCTCCTAGTCCAAGCCCAGAGGCTTCACTGTCCCTTGTCTCCAAATCTGCAAAGCTACAGCTGCAGATTCCCCTAAACCCCAAACCCTAAACCCTAACCCCCAAACCCCTAAACCCCTAGACCCTAAACCCCCAAACCCTAAACCCCTAAACCCTGAACCCCTAAACCCCAAACCCCCAAACCCCCAAACCCAAAGAGACAAGACGAGTCACCGTCTTCCCGCAGTGTCCTCGATATGATTCCAATCATACCTAGAGACCCAATTTTTTAGGGTTTAGGGTTTAGGGTTTAAGGAATGCTCCTTAAATCATGGAAGGATCCGTAATATGATTTAAGGAATATTCCTTAAGTCAGGGATATTAGAATCCCCTAAACCCTAAACCCTATAGATCCCTTAAAAGGAACCCTAGGTATTCCTCAACTAAGGGATATGGGAGTCGCAGCCACTTTTTTCCCACCTGGACCTCTGCCTAAGGACATCCCCGAATGTCCTACAGGAGACAGCCACACAGTCCCTCACCGCCCCGGGGCCGGTCCCGCTCCATCATCCGCCGGCGCCGGTCCCGCTCCATCATCTCCTCGGAGGACGAATACGGCTGATCCGCCACGGCCCTCGTCGCCCACGGAGCAGCTGCTCGCGCGTGACTCAGGCCAAAGCTGCCATCCTTCAATGCAACGAATGTCGGTGGATCCAACATGGCGACAGTTGGCAGGCTCGTTGCACGTATGTGGAGGGAGGCCGGGGCAGTACATACGGAGAGCAGCAATGTGCAACTGCTTCTGCCATGCAGGCATTCGGAAGTCCTGGCTAATCCCGGGGCGGCCGTTCGGCCTCGGGTGTCGGGCATGCATCCTTTATTCCCGCCATCATCCGACGGAAGTTCAGAAGGCATCGCCATTCCTATCCATGTCCAAGGGAGCCCCACACGTGCCGCTCGGAGCCGCTATAGGGGACTGTTGGGTTCGTACTTTTTAGTGCCAGTTTGTACGAAGATGATGCGGTCCCGCCTGTGTACTATGACGAAGACGATGATGATTACGGTAGAAGCCAGAAAGTTGGAATATGATTATCCTAAACCCTTTATGGTAAATTATAGGGTATCCTACCCTGAAACCATATTCCAACTTTCTGGAGTTCCCCTTAGGCCGGCACGAACTTGCCGGCACGAATCTCTGGGTACCCCAGGCCCTCCGCTCCGAAGTTCTGAAGAAAATTCCTCATGTTAGGACACCACTGAACCGTTATTAGGGTTTAGAGGTTTAGGGTTTAGGGTCCCTCTCACACACCACATCCACAAAACACAGCTGAAACTTGTCGGGCACATTCTTAGATCCCATCCGAACAGTATAGAACGGAACTGCTGTTTTACTAGGTCTTTTCAGTACAGAGGGGGAACGGTAGGAGCAGGCCTTAGGCCAGGTAGGCGAAGGGTCCACTGGACGGAACAGTGCACCAAGCTCCTTTGGCACTGGCTTTTAAAGTCCTCAAGGCCCCCAGCCACCTATCTACAAGCTCACAGAACAGCTGTAGACCGCCACTTTTGGAGTACGCTGAGTACGCTAGTGAGGTTGCCAACGTGCAAGACACTCCTAGAAGCACACTCCTACGTAGTTCTCTCACAGACTTACTTGAGTTCTTGCGGAGTCGTTGCTGAGCGAGTTGCATATGGCCGCCCAAAAAGGGTTTAGGGTCAAAGCTTTAGGGTTTAGGGTTTATGGAACTCTACGGCCTAGTAGTAAAGTAGGTAACCTTTAACCTTGTTTGGGTAGTTTAATCCCTATATAACAAAAAACCGACAAGTAGGAGTCTAAATGGATCTGTAAGGGTTTCAAACGGGGTACTCTACGGACAGTTCTTTATATATGGAGCCCTAAAGAATTTGCTTTAAACAGAAAAAGCACTGCAAACTTGAGGCGACTCTGCACCAGCTTCGCCCAAGGTCGGCCCAAAGGCGTTGTGAACATGTCGGCAATAGTCCTGTAGGCTATGGGGTAGGGCGGTATGTGCTGGATTATGGGTACCCAGAGTCCAATATCCCTTAATAAAGGAATATACCTCAAATTATAGTAGGATCCCTAATAGGATTCAAGGAATATTCCGTAATTAAGGGATGTTGGAGTCTTTGGGTACATGTGCCCATCAGCCGCATGCGCCTAAACGATCAGCAATACTATTTCGGAGGCTGCCGTCATACACGAGTTACTCAGGCATCTATATGGGAGTTTCCGAAAATACGGGACCCTAAAATAGTGCCCTAGATAGTAGGATCCTTATTATATGGACCCCCCAAATAAGGTACCCCTAGTTTTCGGAAACTCCCATATAGGGCATCCATATAGCTAAACCCTAAACCCTATATAGCTGAAGGGTCTTACGTTGTAGGTTGTTCAGTCGATGGGTTCAGGTTCGGAGATCGAGGGTCTCGCATTTTGTGTCTTGAGGCTCAAACACCTCTACAGGTTTTGATCGGGCGTGTAGCTTAATGGCTGTAAACTCAACTTTTCAATTTTTGGGGCTCAAACACCTCTACCAGGACCCTCCTTGTACCCTCAAATAGGGGTATATGGTCCCAAACAAGGGGCATTTAGGGTCTAATAGAAGGTAGATGGAGGGTCTAGGTACAGGTTTTGATTGGGCGTGTACTTAGAGGATCATGGGACTTAGTAAGTAGTTTAATAACTGGGGTTATAAGTCCCCTAAGTGGGGTTATCCTAACTATAACCTACTTGTAACCTTACTTACTAAGTCCCATGATCCTTCAAGTAGGGATCTTAAGATTCAGGGGATACTGGTCAACCTTCGTGGACTGGGTGCTCCTAGGGGGGCTCTTTCACTGTTTTGGGATCTACGCCGGCATAATCTTTTGTAGTAAAACAAGGGGTTAATGATTATGCATCCTCATATATTAATGCTAAGACTAGTATTAATACTTTTTTGTACTTATACTGGTATTAATACTTGTCTTACTATACATATGGGTTAAGGATCATGGGGCTAGGGTTCCTTGTGCTCCATCTTTACAGGCTAGTGTTCCAATTTTCCGACTTCTACTCCACTTACAGTAGAAGCCAGAAAGTTGGAACATTACAATCCTCATGCCCTTAATCTAAAGTAAGGGGAATCCTAGCACAAATCATCCCAAATCTATGTTCCAACTTTTTGGGGTTCAGTATAAAGGCCCAAGGGACTTAGTAAGACAAGTTATCAGTAAGGTTCGAAATAAGGTCAGGGCACTTACAACCCCTTTTACCCTGAGCCCTTAAGTAGGGTCATGTGAGGTGAGTTTGAGAGTTTAGGCTTTCGGGCGCAGGCCTTGAGCTTTTTGAGCTTATGGAGTCGACAGATGAGGGTTTGAGGGTTTAGCTTTTAGGATTTAAAAAGGGTCTAGGAGTTTAAACTTAAGGGTCTATGGTTTGGGGGGTCGGGACCCCACTAGTACCTGTGTGCCGTTTTTGTTTGGGGGCCCCCTTGCTTGAATGTTAGTGTGTGCACAAAGGATACCCTGATTATACAGGGGACGCTGGCGAACCTAGCTATAAACCCTGTAAAACTGTCCATAACCACATAACAACCTCAAAATCATCGTAGAAACATTTTGTAAACCCTGACATCTACATATTCAAGCTCTTAAACAAGACCCACCAAGTCTGTAATAACACTTACAGCAACCCCCAATTAAGGAACGCTTTAAGAGAACCCTAGCGCTTTCAAGCCCGAAGAGGACGGGCCTGACGAGCCGAAGGACGACGCGAAGGCTCCGAACGGATGTAATATAGGGGCCTTAATATTTAGAATAGGTTTTTGGGTTATATTACACTACAATTATAATCAGGAACCCCAAAAAAAGCATTGGTAATTATTTAGGCCCCTAGAGTGAACCCCAGACCCTCAAAACTTAGGGTTTGGAGTTTAGGCTTTACGGGTTCAGTATTGCACTGAACCCTAAACCCTATAAACTCCAAACCCTGAGTGATTTTGGGTTTAGGATTTGGGGTTTCGGGCTAGGACTAGGAGTTTTTTAGGTTGTCTCCCTCGCGAAATGCCGGCGAAGCCTGAACCCTAAAACCAGAAGCTCCAACGGGCTCTACTTTTGGATCCTCCCATTAAGGTTGTATAGTTTAGAAGCTGCCCCCACCGTGTAATAGTGACTATAAGGATGATATGGGGGCCCTAGTATATTCCTATTATATCACTATTACAGGGTGGGGGCCCCTTCTAATGTGTAGTGAACACCGGAAAGTTGGAACATGGACTTAGGATGATTAGCGCTGGGAATCGCAATGCTTGACCTTCAGGGCATGAGGCCAGTGATGTTCCAACTTTCTGGCTTCTACTGTAGGTGTCAGGGGTGTATGGTTTCGGACTTTGGGGTTCAGGGTTATACCTTTTAAGAAGGAATGGATGTTCTCAATTTTGGGGTTTCTGCAGGTTTAATAGAGTGTTAGGCAGTTTTGTGAGGTTCAGTACTTAAAGGCTCATGGGACTTAGTAAGTAAGGTTATAAGTAGGTTATAGTTGCGATAGCCCACTTAGCGGACTTATAGCCCCAATTATAACCGAATTAACAAAGCCCCATGATCCTCTGGGTAACCTAAACTTCCCGTTATAGAACCCTTATGTTATAGATCCCTCAACCCTAAACCCCTTCAGGAGCCCTTTAAGGAACCCTAAGTCCCACGATCCTTTAAGTAGGGTTTCGGATTGGGGGTTCGGGGCGCGAGTTTGCACGTTTCATGCTACGTTCCTGTGTCCCCAACCCAGACCCCCCCAAAAGGACCTAGAAAGTAGATCCCCTAGTTTGGGGCTTGGTAGGGCTCCTTAAAGGGATGCTGTAATGGATCCTTTAGGGTTTAGGGTTTAGGGATCTATAAGGGAAAGTCGATCCCCTAGTTTGGGGCCCTATACTACTACGGGTACTTTATAGGGACCCCCATTTAAGGGATCTACTTTTTGGATCCTTTCGGGGGTCTGGGAATGTTCAGTTTCCAAGGAGAGAACCTTTTGTACTACGTGGCAGCCCGAAGATACAACCAGCCCATGAACCACGTCATTACGGAAAGAAAGACCCCGTATAGAAGCAGCAGGATGTAAACAAGATGCCAATGGCTGCGTAATCAGATCCCTGACTACCCCTACCGTCTGTGACGGGCTGTTGACGCTTCCTTCAGGTAAGCCAAGTGGTTACTGCAACGGTTCATAGTTCATAGTGCGAGCTACAAGTAAGGCGTACTGCAAGGCATTTACCACACCCCTGATTTATGAGGAATTACACCACCGGGCCGAAAGTTTCGACATGCAGCTTATAACATATGATGTATGCCGCGGAGAGGCGGAGAGCCCCCAGACCCATTTTACGTGGCCAGCGTGGCGGAGTAATTACTTTCCGGGAATAAATTTATACTATTATATAGTTTCCGGCGGAGAGCTTTGCGGGGTTGTGCTAGGATTCTACGGGGGAAAAGGGGGGAACATGCGGTGATCTCTCAACTTCATGTTGTATGGCGAACTTTCGTCCTGCGGTAGCGGGCAATTCGGGGCTTGCAGTCCAGCCTTATGGAAAGATAACAACATCCCCTGCGACAAATACCTTTTGACTATTGCTCTGGATTCTGGCCCCCCGAAATGACGCTGCGCCGGTCCGAAAGTTTGTCGCACTCTCTGATGTCGACTTACAACATATATTTTCAAGACCCCTTTTCCCCGTAGACTCCTCCAGAAGTCCTCCGCCGGGAACAATTATAGTACTCTAACTTCATTCCTGTGTGATAATTCCTCCGCAAGCCAGGCTCGGCTACTCCTCACAGCCCGGACTCCGCGTACTCCGTTGAGTGTTGCTAACGGATGCGACGAAACTTTAGTACCGGGCATGCCTCGCCGTGACACTTTTTCTCAGCAAATGACACTGGCTCACCCTGACCTTAAAGCCACATGTCCTGGCTTGGTTGCTGCAAGGATCAGCCATGATTCCATAATCAGCGGGCAATTCGGGGCTTGCAGTCCAGCCTTATGGAAAGATAACAACATCCCCTGCGACAAATACCTTTTGACTATTGCTCTGGATTCTGGCCCCCCGAAATGACGCTGCGCCGGTCCGAAAGTTTGTCGCACTCTCTGATGTCGACTTACAACATATATTTTCAAGACCCCTTTTCCCCGTAGACTCCTCCAGAAGTCCTCCGCCGGGAACAATTATAGTACTCTAACTTCATTCCCGGGTGATAATTCCTCCGCAAGCCAGGCTCGGCTACTCCTCACAGCCCGGACTCCGCGTACTCCGTTGAGTGTTGCTAACGGATGCGACGAAACTTTAGTACCGGGCATGCCTCGCCGTGACACTTTTTCTCAGCAAATGACACTGGCTCACCCTGACCTTAAAGCCACATGTCCTGGCTTGGTTGCTGCAAGGATCAGCCATGATTCCATAATCAGCGGGCAATTCGGGGCTTGCAGTCCAGCCTTATGGAAAGATAACAACATCCCCTGCGACAAATACCTTTTGACTATTGCTCTGGATTCTGGCCCCCCGAAATGACGCTGCGCCGGTCCGAAAGTTTGTCGCACTCTCTGATGTCGACTTACAACATATATTTTCAAGACCCCTTTTCCCCGTAGACTCCTCCAGAAGTCCTCCGCCGGGAACAATTATAGTACTCTAACTTCATTCCCGGGTGATAATTCCTCCGCAAGCCAGGCTCGGCTACTCCTCACAGCCCGGACTCCGCGTACTCCGTTGAGTGTTGCTAACGGATGCGACGAAACTTTAGTACCGGGCATGCCTCGCCGTGACACTTTTTCTCAGCAAATGACACTGGCTCACCCTGACCTTAAAGCCACATGTCCTGGCTTGGTTGCTGCAAGGATCAGCCATGATTCCATAATCACCACCGGGCCGAAAGTTTCGACATGCAGCTTATAACATATGATGTATGCCGCGGAGAGGCGGAGAGCCCCCAGACCCATTTTACGTGGCCAGCGTGGCGGAGTAATTACTTTCCGGGAATAAATTTATACTATTATATAGTTTCCGGCGGAGAGCTTTGCGGGGTTGTGCTAGGATTCTACGGGGGAAAAGGGGGGAACATGTGGTGATCTCTCAACTTCATGTTGTATGGCGAACTTTCGTCCTGCGGTAGCGGGCAATTCGGGGCTTGCAGTCCAGCCTTATGGAAAGATAACAACATCCCCTGCGACAAATACCTTTTGACTATTGCTCTGGATTCTGGCCCCCCGAAATGACGCTGCGCCGGTCCGAAAGTTTGTCGCACTCTCTGATGTCGACTTACAACATATATTTTCAAGACCCCTTTTCCCCGTAGACTCCTCCAGAAGTCCTCCGCCGGGAACAATTATAGTACTCTAACTTCATTCCCGGGTGATAATTCCTCCGCAAGCCAGGCTCGGCTACTCCTCACAGCCCGGACTCCGCGTACTCCGTTGAGTGTTGCTAACGGATGCGACGAAACTTTAGTACCGGGCATGCCTCGCCGTGACACTTTTTCTCAGCAAATGACACTGGCTCACCCTGACCTTAAAGCCACATGTCCTGGCTTGGTTGCTGCAAGGATCAGCCATGATTCCATAATCAGCGGGCAATTCGGGGCTTGCAGTCCAGCCTTATGGAAAGATAACAACATCCCCTGCGACAAATACCTTTTGACTATTGCTCTGGATTCTGGCCCCCCGAAATGACGCTGCGCCGGTCCGAAAGTTTGTCGCACTCTCTGATGTCGACTTACAACATATATTTTCAAGACCCCTTTTCCCCGTAGACTCCTCCAGAAGTCCTCCGCCGGGAACAATTATAGTACTCTAACTTCATTCCCGGGTGATAATTCCTCCGCAAGCCAGGCTCGGCTACTCCTCACAGCCCGGACTCCGCGTACTCCGTTGAGTGTTGCTAACGGATGCGACGAAACTTTAGTACCGGGCATGCCTCGCCGTGACACTTTTTCTCAGCAAATGACACTGGCTCACCCCGACCTTAAAGCCACATGTCCTGGCTTGGTTGCTGCAAGGATCAGCCATGATTCCATAATCACCACCGGGCCGAAAGTTTCGACATGCAGCTTATAACATATGATGTATGCCGCGGAGAGGCGGAGAGCCCCCAGACCCATTTTACGTGGCCAGCGTGGCGGAGTAATTACTTTCCGGGAATAAATTTATACTATTATATAGTTTCCGGCGGAGAGCTTTGCGGGGTTGTGCTAGGATTCTACGGGGGAAAAGGGGTGAACATGTGGTGATCTCTCAACTTCATGTTGTATGGCGAACTTTCGTCCTGCGGTAGCGGGCAATTCGGGGCTTGCAGTCCAGCCTTGTGGAAAGATAACGACATCCACTGCGACAAACGCCTTGTGACTATTGCTCTGGATTCTGGCCCCCCGAAATGACGGTGCGCCGGTCCGAAAGTTCGTCGCACTCTATGTTGTCGACTTACAACATATGTTTCAAGACCCCTTTTCCCCGTAGACTCCTCCAGAAGTCCTCCGCCGGGAACAATTATAGTACTATAATTTCATTCCCGGGTGATAATTCCTCCGCTAGCCAGGCTAGGCTATTCCTCACAGCCCGGACTCCGCGTACTCCGTTGAGTGTTGCTAACGGATGCGACGAAACTTTAGTACCGGGCATGCCTCGCCGTGACACTTTTTTTCAGCAAATGACACTGCCTCACCCTGACCTTAAAGCCACATGTCCTGGCTTGGTTGCTGCAAGGATCAGCCATGATTCCATAATCACCACCGGGCCGAAA